CCAACCGGGGAACTATAGGCCAGTTAGTGTGACGTGCATAGTATGTAAACTGTTAGAGGGAATTATTAAGGACTACTTAGTGGAATGCGTCCGGGATCATAGTATAATAAGTGATGTGCAGCACGGATTTAGGAAGGATCGTTCTTGCCAGACCAACCTGCTAAGCTTTTACGAAGAGGTGAGTAGAGATCTGGATAGGATGAGGACAAAGGGCATAGTATATCTGGACTTTTCCAAAGCATTTGATACTGTGCCACATAAACGCTTGTTGTACAAGCTAAGGGCTATGGGCATAGATGAGGTGGTGTGTACGTGGATAGAAAACTGGCTACGAGAACGTGCGCAAAGAGTATCTGTAAATGGCACCTTTTCAGACTGGGCGGAGGTCATGAGTGGTGTGCCCCAGGGTTCTGTGCTGGGTCCCATGCTTTTTAACCTATTTATTAATTATATCGGGGAGGGAGTGACTAGCCGTGTCTCAGTGTTTGCTGATGATACTAAAATTGGGAGGGTAATAGACACGGATTTAGACATTGTAACATTACAGGAGGACCTGGATAAACTCGGGGAGTGGGCAACTGTATCGCAGATGAAGTTCAATGTCGATAAATGTAAAGTAATGCACCTTGGAGTAAAAAATAGGCAAATGGACTATACTCTTATGGGGGTGCCACTAGAGAGTGGGCAACTGTATGGCAGATGAAGTTCAATGTCGATAAATGTAAAGTAATGCACCTTGGAGTAAAAAATAGGCAAATGGACTATACTCTTATGGGGGTGCCACTAGGGAAGTCTGAAACGGAGAAGGATTTGGGGGTCATTATAGATTGCAGATTGAAGAACAGCTCGCAGTGCTAGACTGCTGTAAACAAAGCAAGCAGAGTCCTGTCTTGCATTAAGAAGGGAATGTATTGCAGGGACAAGTCTATAATTTTGCCTCTTTATAGATCACTGGTTCGGCCACATCTGGAGTACGCGGTCCAGTTCTGGTCACCGATACTCAGAAAAGATGTCCTTGAGCTGGAAAAAGTCCAGAAGAGGGCAACCAAACTCATTAAGGGTTTGAGGATCTGAACTATGAAACAAGATTGTTAAAATTAAATATGTTCTCTTTGGAGGTTAGGAGATTAAGGGGGGACATGATTTTCTTGTATAAACTGTTCAATGGTGACAGCAACATTATTAACAAACTGTTTATGGTTAGCTCCGTAACAGACCAGAGGGCACAACCAAAAATTGGTAGAAAAAAATTTTCAACACTCGGGGCGCAGGGGTTTTTTCACAGTTAGAGCGGTTAGGGTCTGGAACTCGCTGCCGCAGGAAGTGATTTCAGCTAAGAGTGTGGAATCATTCAAGAAACTCCTGGACGAGTTGCTTGGAGACCGTAAAATAAAGGGGTACCAGTACTCTTCAGTACAAAATCACACATGGAGTCATTAACACGCACACGCCAGCTCGAACATAAATGCATACACGCAATAGGTTGGACTTGATGGACTTATGTCTTTATTCAACCTCAAATACTATGTAACTATGTAATTGGCCTAAAATCATTAGTCTGTATAGTTTTTTTTAAAATGTCACCTGTCCCTTTAAGAAAAAGTATTGGTAATTGGTATCGGCAAGTACATGAGGGGAAGTACTTGTACTTGGTCTTGAAAAAGTGGTATCGGGACATCCCTAAAAATAATATTCATGGCAGTGCTGGAGCTATGATCTATGTTCATGGCACCCTTAACTTGAAGAAAACAGTTCCGTGATCAATAATTATATATCCTTGTCAGAGACTGGAATCGCAGTACTTTTTCTTTAGTTTTACTTGTACCTGTAGCCCAATAAAAAAATCAATTGCAGGGGTTACCTGTTTTACTAATAAAGAGTTTTAGACATGAGACCAACTGCAAGGAAACAATGGGGGGAATTTATCAAGGGAGTTGCTCCACTTTTCTGTAAGTGACAAATGTTCCACGTTTATTTGCACTTTATTTATCAATGCAGTCTAAGCCTTGATAATAAATGTCATTTTCATTAGACATGTTGGGGGGAATTTATCAAAGCTATTGCGAGTGTTTGAACTTGCACGGAATATATTTGCACCAGATTTATCAAGCTAGTCCAATGTTGTTGATAAATTAGGTTTAATAGACTCCAGGAAAGAAGACTTCTAACTCCAGGCAAAAAGCTTAACTGTCACATCTGGAAGAAGTGGTCTTGGGTACTTCTTAAGTTGTGAGTGTTTTCTTAAGTGATGCTCCAGTTAAAACTGAAACTGTTGCAAGTGCTTTGATAAATTCCCCCCAATCTTTTCTTTCTGCAGAAGTTGCTACCAGCCATCATATTTACTGATTCAACCTCCTGTGGTGACTGTGAAGACAAGCTGGCCGTGCCGCTAACTGGAAGGGATCATTCTGGTGCTACTGCTTTGCATATTTTTCTTGCTGCCGCCACAATTTTAGCTACCACACCCAACATTTTTATTGTGTAATAAGATGCCATTGGAATCTTGTGTGTAAGGGGCATGTTCACAGCCTTTCTTTTAAGGTAGGTTAAAGGGGTTGGCTGCCCCAAAACTTATAATTATATTTTTTAATCTTATATGACAAGTTGCATTTGAGATTGTAAAATAATATCTAATTTTCTTTTTATATGGTGCCCTAATAATTCTACTTTATGCCAGAGAAATCTACAACATTGGCAGTACAGTTTGTAGAAAAATAAAGAACAAAAGCCTAAAGTGCACATAACGTAAATCTTTACTTTGTGTAGTAGGAAGATCCACATGTGGCTCAATACAATTTGAAATGAAACACACTTGTGTAAGAAGAAATTTCATAAAAAACAGAGTTTTTTTCTAGCCAAGATCACCAGCAACACCAACCTTTTACTATTATAGTAGAGAAGTATACATTGATGGAAGGGTGTCTGAAACTGATGGACACATTGCAAAAACGACTTCTTTTTAAAACAGTACACATGTATATAAATGTACGTGAGGGCGAGTGGAAATTCATCGGGAGGGAGGGGCACCACCAGCAGGACCAGGGGGTGAAACTACCGCCACTTCTGCAGTGGCGTTTGCTTGTTTAGTTATTCCTTCTCTTCAGCCAAACCGATTCTTCTCCTCCTTGGCCACTCTGTAGCTGCAGTGGCCGAGGAGGAGAAGAATCATTCGGCTGTCTACACTTCAATCCAGCCACCTGCAGCTTCCTCCGCCCACCTCAGCTGCCATAGGCTGGGAAGAAGACTGGCCGTCCAGAGGTTTTTGCAGTGCGGGACCTAAATGAAGGCTTCACCTCGGTACCCCCCACCACCAGGAAAGGAAGAGGGCTACTATATCAAATCAGCTATGTGCACTGTAAGTCCCTGTTCTTTCTGCCTTACACCGCTGAGCTCTGCACTCTGCATTACATTACTGACCTCTGCACTATACATTACATTTACAATACTGACTTCTGTACTGTGCGTTACATTACTGACCTCTGTACTGTGCATCATACTGCTGACCTCTGTACTGTGCATTACATTACTAACCTGTGTACTGTGCATCATACTGATTATCTCTGTACTGCTGAGCTCTGTACTATGCGTTACATTACTGACCCCTGAACTGCTGACCTCTATACTGTGCATCACTCCACTGACCTCTGTACTGTGTGGCAGACCGCTGGCCTCTGCACTGTGCCTCACACCGCTGACCTCACAGTAGCAGTGATTACAATAAAAGTACCCACGGTATCAGTGCCCATAGTAGCAGTGCCCACAGTAGCAGTGTTGCAGCAATATCTTTATGCCCCTTATTTAAATTTAGAGAGTGGGATAACCCATGAGGGGCATTATACAATGTACCAAGATGGCCCATGAATGTGTACTACACCCAATAGAGAGGGGGTGGGGCAGGTGCAGTAGCGATCCTAGTCCATAGTCCAAGTGGCTGAGGAAAAAAGGCACCTATTTTAAAAATGAAAAGTGACCAAAGTGCTTCTGCTGCTGGCTGCTACTGAATGAGTGGCAGCCAGCAGTTCACGTGTTAACCTTTAAGGCACTGGAGCTACAGCACACTAGACTCCCAGATAAGACAAAAACCTTGACTTACTGCAGCTGCTGTACTACAGTTCTCACAGTCAGCCAAGGAGGATGTTAAGAAACAAGCCCCATTCAGATTTTCGCCCTCCTGGTGGGCATACCCCTTAAGGGGTCTTCAGGGACTGGGTTCCATCTGTGGATTGACCACGGCCCTGGACCTGTATAGCATCCTAACTTATTGCCTTGCACCACAAGATGAATATCTAAAGAAGTATCCAGTGCCCAAAACAACATTACAGGCTTGCGCCATGTTTTCATTCCGGCAAGGTCCAGGTATGGTCCCCCAGGGCACAGAAGGAAATATGGAAGCTGCAAAAATAAGCTGTAGTGGCTAAGTAGCAGCTGAGAATCTTTCTAGAAGAAAATCTTGAGAAAAAGAACAAAGAAGCTTAGGAAGATGTCAGTTTACCTAAGGTCACTAGCAAACAATTGAGGATTGGTGGGAGTGGGAGGGGTCAGGGCAGCCTTCAGAAATTTCGGAGCCCCTTACACGGCTTCAGGCACTTGCTATCTGGGATACAGCTCTGACATATATATACCACACTGCTGTACAGAGAACACTGAGCCAGTCACATCATTCCCTATACAGAGGAGCTTACACTCTAATGCAGAATGCCACCGCTTGTAGGGGGACTACAATTCCCAGCAATACATTTATACAGCAATGCAGAACAGTATATGAATTGGACTCTGGGCTTAGTTACGCGCCGGACTCTGGGCTTAGTTACGCGCTGGACTCTGGGCTTAGTTACGCGCTGGACACAGGACCCACCTGAGACCCCACACAGTCCACCTGAAAGTGACCCTGCATACATGCCATACATGCTGCACAGCCCATCTGAGACTCTCTATGGTGGGCTCTGCAGGGGTCTCAGATGGGCTGGTTGGGGCTGCATCTCCCTCCCAGCTCCTCTTACCTGCTCCTGCCTCTGGTGCCTGGCCTACTCTGCCGGTGAACTGGCCAGACATGACGTGATGCCCCGCTACCTCTGGGCACTCATCTGCATCGCTGTCAGACTAGGATAGTGATGGCGAATGTTTTTGAACCCGAGTGCCCTAGAATTATTGCTCTCACTCCGACGCTCGCGACGATACATAACATCCGATGCCGTGGGGACCGGCAGTAGTGGCGGTGACGCTGGTGAAGGAGGAGGCCGGGAGGTGGAAGTGGCGGCAGAAATGGTCGTGGAGGCCGGCGGTAGCAGAGTTGGAGGAGGCCAGGGCCTAGCAGCAGCCGACTCAGAGATTAAAAAATAAGTGGAACGCAGTGTGTATAGGGAATGGGACCCCGACCAGCCCACCTGAGACCCTGCAGAGCCCATCATAGACAGTCTGTGGTGGGCTCAGCAGGGTCACTCTCAGGTGGGCTATTCAGGGTCTCAGGTGGGCTCTGCGGGGTGTATGGTGGGGACGATACAAAATTTTGCTATGGACCCTGTGATTTCTAGTTACGCCCCTGGTTGGCAGCCCTCATAATGGCCTTGGCAAATTTGAAAAGAAACCGATCTCCCTGCGAAACATAAGAAGCTGTGGTCTGGATTAAGTTTTCAGCATCTAACAAAAACTGAAATATCAGTAATACCAGCCTGAGGTGAACTGATGCTTTCATTAGTTTAGGCAACAACTGTTCAGAATTTAAACAACAAATAAAGTTGTTTCGGTCAAATTTATTTTCATGTTTTTTATGAGTTTTTAAACTTGTTACTGTTTTTTTTTCTATTTGTATAAAATCTTTGTTTTACAAATAAACATTTAATAAAAATTGTACCCTTGACACAGGATTCACATGGATTTATAAACAGCAAATCTGAAGCTGTTTTCATTCAGGCTAGGGTCACACCTGGGCGATTGCGCTGGTGAGATGTTTTCACGCGGTTGTCGCACGTTTTTGTTTGCACAATTTTGCTTTTAAAACCGCCGGGTAGTCATGTGGTTTTCAATGCATAGAGATGTCTATGGTACCCATACCGCACGACAACTGCCCTAAAATAGCTCCTGCACCTTTTTCCGTGACAGGCGATTTCTACCGCACGACAAATCGCAAAGGTGTGAACAGCTTCCATAGACCTGAATGCAAATCTCTGCTTTGTGCGATATCGTGCGGCTAAATCTGCGCGATAAATCGCCTAGGTGTGAACCGAGCCTCAGACTCCCGGTCTCCAATTGTACCTTCTAATGCTTCCTCTATTTCAGCTAGAGCTATTGAGCTGTGCAAACAGACTTTTTTTTCTACAGAAGAGTTAAGATGAGGACAATATCTAAAGCAGACAAAAGCGCCACATACCGGCTGCATATGAAAATACTAAATATACATTTAACCCTTTTGCTGCTACCCTAGATGATAGGGTAAAATCTTAAAGTTGTAAACCAGCCAAAGTTCCTGGAGGCTTAAAGGGTTTCTAAACCCTAGACTTTGGGAGAGCTGGCATATCAGGAGACTATATAATCATCTACCTGAGCCAATGCAGTCAATGGCCTCCTGAGAGGGCTTCTTAATACTTTATAAAGCTCTGCATAATAGTCTTTAAAAGCATTTGAGATCTCTTTCTGAATGTGCCTTATCCCCCCAGTTGGATGCTAAATATGAGGTATGTATGTCCTTCTATGTTGTTTGTACAAGGCAAGGCATTAGCCAATATTAACCTAGCCCTAGCCCTGACCAATCTGGTCTCTACATCAACTGTTTGGGTTAATTTATGAGAATGTTCAAGGTCCAAATTTCTTGGAGTAGGTCATTAAGCTTTGCCGTTTTCTCCTGTTTGAGTTGTGCCCCATGCTTAATGAGTACGCTCCTAACACAGGGCATGTGAGCTGCTCATACCACCACTTGGATGACCTCTGGTGTAACAATAGAGGAATAGAGGTCTAACTGTGAGTGGATGTCTTCCAGAACCTCAGGGGTCTGCAAAAGGCTCTTATTTAAGCGCCGCTGCAATTCTGAATATGCCACTGTTGGTAAAGCTAACTCCAGTGAAACCAGGGCGAGGGTCAGAAAGAGTGATGTTGCCGATGCCAAAAGCAGGAAACAGGGCCAAATCACCACATCTCACTAGAATAAAGGCAGTGCGAGTGTAGAGTTTATGTGGACTTGAAAACAATGTATAGTCCCTAGTGGAAGCGTGTTGTAGTCTCCATACATCTGAGCTGGCTGAGATGGAAAGCTTTGAGCTGTGGCTCATAAGAGCAGCCGAAGGAGTTGGGAGACTTGTCTATCTTAGGCCCCATTCACACTCCGCGATTCGCAAATCGCGCGTTTGTCGCGCGATTTGCATTTTGTGTGATTTCGCGAGATTTGTTGCGCGATATCGCGCAAATGCTTGCATCGCAAAGCATTGAATCGCGGCAAAATCCGCTCCAAAAAGGGTCCTGCTGTAGCGACACACGACCCGCGACAGCAGGACCCTTTGCCCCATTGCCAGGCATTGGAGAGAGATATCGCCCGGTAAATAGCCGCGATATCGCAGGAATTACCGCGCGATAAATCGATCAATGTGAACGGGGCCTAAGGGTCCATGGCAACGTTAAAATCTCCACCCAGTACCAAGATAACATCAAGAAAATCATGTAGTTTATTTAAACGTGTCTCCACAAACTTAAGTTGGTTAGGTACGTATAGGGTCAAGCAGATATATTTTAGGAGGGCAGCTTTAAACAAAGTCTTGCAAGGACCTAGTTGTATGTCACACTTGCTCAGAAGTGTAGCTATATCTTTTGAGACTTCTGATATCATTTGTTTGCCAAGGTTGTAGTGGACAAGTCTTAACTCTGCATATACTGAGAGGAGCAGGTGTGTCCAGGGAGGATGAGAATGAACTGTTGCAGAAAGAAGTGGCCAGGTCAAGGCAGGGCAGGGGTGATATTTTGTCATATAGGTAGTCAGTAGCACAGTAGATGAGAAGTGTTGAAGTGGTGAAGGTTTCTAAAGGGGTATTGGAGAGGTTGCAAGGAGTGCAGTCGTGGGAGAATACAAGGTTATGTGCCATCAGAGTGAGTAGGAGTGTGTATCCATTGTGTTAAGTTACAAAAATGAGATTAGACCAAGAAGGTGAGAGGCAGCTAGGGTGTTAGCATTAACAGGAATGTTAAAGTCACCAAGAATGATAATGAGTAATTCAGAGGAGAGAAAGTTGGGTAGCCAGGAAGAGAAGTCATCAAGAAAACACAATACTGGCCCTGAAGGACGATAACTCACAGCAATCTTCCGAAAACCTGGAGAAAATAGACAACTACAGTGAGCTTCAGAAGATGAGAGGGATAGAGAGGGAGATGAAGGATGAACTTGAAAAGTTTTTTGTGTGGATAGAAGGACTTCTAATCCACCTTCCTTTCGGACACTGAGTCTGGGTGAGTGAATCCGATGTAGGCCACCAATTGATTCACTCAACTGCAAACAGAAAGAGTTGTATGGGGAAGAACGGGTTCACCTGCAGACTATCAGGAGCACTGTTTGCATATATATTTTCTTATTTCTGCCTTGCTCCACATGCCTTGACTAAGTGCCCTGACACTTTTGTCAAAATAGACACTTTTTGGTTGGAATAGACATGGTAAGAGTGCCAATGCATCCTGGAAAAGGTGGCTTCCCCCAAAAGCACTATATTTATAGTACTATGGGGTGGGGGATGCATGTCAATTAATTAGTTAGGAACTGATAAAGCAACATGCTCTTTAGATTGTCATGTGTGTTTGTGAGTGTCATGTATGAACAGTTTTTCATATAAACTAAAACAGTCAACATTTTTTAGGATGCAAATTTTAAAAGTTTGATTCAGTTTTGCACCATACAGTACATACATGTGAAGGCTGTATGTAGGGTTGACACAGGCCACAAGATGAACAGTGCATTTTGTGTGGCAAATTCATAGGGAGATCAGTTGCATGGAACAACCTCATAGATTATACAATGCACGCAACTTATTATTATTTTTTTTTTTGCAAGTATATTTTGAGTTTATTCAACAACAAGGAATTACAGCAGATTCATCACATAGTCAGTATAATGAGTGCTACGATGAGAGTTGACATAGATCAGAAGAATACACTCAGAAAATTGTACTATGTACATTCCATTTGCAAGAGAATAATAACACACATGGAGCAATCAGAATATTGCAAAGCAATTACATTTCGGCATGTCGATTGCCACTGCATTCTTAACATAAAGTATAGGAACAGCTAATCAACAACATATTATTTTAACAGAGTAACAAGTGAACATTGCGTGGTTGCCTGGGGAACTAAGACTGTATCAGTCCTTGTTGAATTTGCGTCTGGTGAATGTAGTGAGTGGAAACGGAATGAGGTTGGTATGGAAAGGGCTAGATTTGGTGGGAGAAAATAATCAAGCAACTTATTTTATATGCCATATGAATCATATGATATGATAGTACAGGTATGTACCTATTTCTATGGGTATATAGTATTTGAATACTACTATTTTCAAAAATATATTTTTTCAACTTGAATATGTAAATCACAGAAGGTACTTCTGATTCAGGGCGTACTTCTAACGAGTAAGTAAAATTAACCATAGCACTTTAGCAAACATGGAAGATATCTAAGTAAGCATTTTTAATAATTAAAAAAACACAAGGGATTGTTTGGAAAAGATAACTATAGAATTATGAGCGAAGGGGAATTTAAGATAAATAAACCCACTTCAGGGGTGCCGGTGTTCTATCAATGTTTGTTACTACGTTGGAATGTGTGACCGGGGACGTCAACTTTGTAAGTGTGATCTCACATTCCACCTCCCTCACGAAGTCAGATAGAAGTGACATTTGAGGACCGATCAGCTGTTCCAGGCAGATGGGGTAATGCCGATCCATTCTTCAGCACATGCGATCTGCGATGCCGATCTGCCCTGGAACAGCTGACAAAGCGTTTGAATGCTTGACCTAATGGTCACACATTCCACCGCTGCAAAACTGGGCGGGATTACGTTAAAATGTGTGACCACGTCACCGTTCACACATTCTAATGTAGTCACGAGCTTTAATAGAACACCTGCTAAACATTGGTTGTTACAAATGGGTACTATGTACTTTTATGAAGATTAGAGACATTGTTTTACAGTAAACTTCAGACTGTCTCTGCACCCCGATGCTTTACCCAGCAACAAGTGACCTCAATGAGATTAAATCCTCAATTGGTTCCTGAAATCAGTCCTCTTGGTTGTTTGGCTGGCAATATGATCGTTGTTTGTGAAACTCGTCCTTCGGCTC